TTTTTTTTTTAGTATTTTTCAAAATCTTGGTGATTTATAGGTACATGACATGTGAGGTGTGGTGAGTGACATTTACTCATATTTGAGAGAAAAAATACTCATTCTATGAATGACCTACGGTACTCAAATATGAGTCAGATTCATTTGACGTGTAGGATGTAGAAAATTGCGGCTTACTTGAAAACGAAGCAATCCAATGAAATTTTCCGTTCACGAATTTCAAAGAGTTTTGATGGAAGCTCAAACGGTCCATACTTTTATTTTAGGATTAGAGTCTGATCATTCGTTTTGAAAAGATAAAGAATGTACTCATGTATAGGTCACGTACTTCAAGTAGTAACGAACTTTTCCTAAGAAAATGTGTTAAGGGGCTGTCCATAAGCTACGCAGACCGTTCTTAAGAGGTTATACAATGTTTTGAACTGTAGACACTTGATAAATTTACTCCTCCCCCCCTTACAGTTTCTACGTGGTTTATGAACAGCTTTAGTGTGTTTGTTTAGTTGTAGCGGAAAGTACCAACGGCAAAATTTACATATTTTTAATGTAATATTTTTTTAATGTAATTGTTAGTTTTAACGACTACATTTTTTGAAAGTAATATTTTTACATAAAATAAATGAATATGTTAAAATCATAATTTTCCTATTTAACAGTTAAAAACATTTGCAGGGTTGATGAGATTTCACTGAAATACATACGATTGAAGTGATAGCAGATCAATTCTGATATTATTTCTCTTCAAATTCTCCTTAATATTCACCTGCTATTCTCCTCACAATTCCCATACAATCCACCTAGGAATTTTTCTCAAAACTACTACTTCTTCTTCTTCTTCGCCTTTCAAGCTTAATGCTTATCGCATTTTAGGTTATTGCGTGCTCTCAACTTAGTGTTCTAGATGCACTTCCACAGTTAGTAATTGAGAGCTTTCGATGCCTGTACCATTTTTGCATTGGTATAATTGTGTGGCAAGTACAATCATACTTCTATGCCCAGGGAAGTCGAGAAATTTTCCAACCCGAAAAATTCCTAGACCGGACCGGGAATCGAACCCAGCCACCTCCAGCATAGTCTTGCTTTGTAGCTGCGCCTTTACTTACTGAGCTAAGGGAGGCCCTTAACTAATCAGGACATAATATCAGAATTAATTTAGCATCCTTGTCAGAGCTCCGTTGATTTTTTCTCGGAGTTCTTCTCAGAATTTAGGTAGAAATAATTCATCATCTCTTTGGAATATTCAAAATTCTATGAAAAAAATCTTAAAATGATTAGAACCCTGAACATTTAAAAAAATATGAGATCTAAGAAATGTTTTCAAAATCCCTCATTTTAAATCATATTTTTGAAAAATTCCAATCATTTTTTTTACCTAGGATAGATTTTTAAAAGTAACATATCTCGAAAAAAAAATATCATATTGTAGAGCGCTACTTCGTCGTAATCGTCCATTTCCGTTCTATCGAGCAGAAAACATCAGTATAATCAATCCTTAAAAATGGGGTACCATACACTAACACTATCATAGATGGTACGATCATACCACATAAAGTTGGAATAATATCCCGAATTGGTGGTTACGCGCTTCTTATGGTTATTATTTATGCGGGATGATTTCACTGTGTACAAATCAGTAATACGTTAGTACCGATGCGATTAGCTATAACGCTAAGCCTATTAGAGCGTATTGTGTGAATATTTACACTCATTGTTCTCAAAGAAGCGCTCCTAGCGAACTCGTTTTTTCTACCTTCATCCGTAGGACGAAGAAAATCCAATGGCGTTTCAATGCGTTTGAAACTCGTAGGACGAATTTAGAATCAAGAAACAGTGTTAGATTTTTAACAATATCTCAACAATGTGTGGCTCTTTATCGTATTCAACGGTACTTATGGAAAGGGTAATAAATTTAGAAGTCATCTTTGATAGAAACATTTAATTTATTGTTAAAACCTATTCAAGAAGGAGAGGTAAAGCGTGGGTTGTGCTTAGTAGGACGGAAATTAGATCAAAAACTCACCCTACAATTGACATTACTGACAGCACCATTTCATTTTGATCATTTTGGAATTATTATTCAAACCATGCCGAATTTTCTACAGTCCCCCCCCCCCTCATATCCCGATATCGAAGAGACCATCGAGGTAGGGAGAGATCAACGTTCAGAGCAGAGATTTTCTTTTTTGCAACCTACTACTTATGTAGTAGGCTTAGCCAAAGGCTGAAAGCCTTTTTAAGGTGATACGATCCAGAAATATGAGCTCTGATGCCATTTCGCATTTTTCAGGAGACTATTATCTGCTTCCAGAAAACATACAATAACAAAACTGCTTCCCCAACTATGGTGATGCAAATTTTATGACTGAAATTGCAATAGTGTCCGATATTAATTTCCTAGAACACTCGAAGTGTAAAGAAAAAATACCTAAACCTAATGTAGTAGACAGGGGCCACCTCAGCGTAGAGGTTAACATGCATACCTCTCACGCTAAAGTTAGGAGTTCAAATCTCACCTCCGGACAAGTCCCGAATGACCCAAGAGTGACTAAAATAATTGAAATCAATATTTAGTAGGATTCTAAGGCCAGTTGAATACATTTACTAACTCATTTCATCAACATTTGTTAAGGAATGTTTCGTAGGTTGTTTTAGCGTTTTAAGTGTTAATTTAAAAGTTTTAAACCCGTTTCGGCATTTAAAATGGAATTTTTAGAACTAACTCCTGATCAACTGACTTTCTTGAAAGAATATTTGAAAGCATGATTTTATCTATTGAACAATTAGATATATTCAGAATAATTACTAAATAACCAACCAAAAGAATATCCTAAATATCAGGAGAGCATTATGCAGGTATTTGATCAATTGAAGGTCTTTGGAATAATTCCTGATCCATTGACATTCTGAAGATTTCGAATTTTTCAATAGCTCAAATCATGCCACTAAGATAGTTTTGCACAAAAGCCAATACCTGTCAACTTCAGAAAAGTTCAACATAGGGGAAATGGATGTAATGTCGGCCTAAATGTCCCTAATTTGGGCCCATACATAAATTCAGCAATCGACTAAATTTTCAATAACGATCAAAAATATCCATTAGTACCGTCCCAATAACGCGTTCTTCTAGATAAAATTGATAAATAGCAGATTTTTATCGATGGGCCCAATATTAGATCGATAGGCCAACATTAGAGCCATTTCCTCTACTTCACTTAAATTCTGTGAATTTAACATGAGTTTTGAAATCTGGTTTTTTTTTATTCAGCAAACATTAAAAATAATCAATGATTGTCAGAGATGATATGCAAATCTTTGAGGAGCTTCTAGAATTCTAGAATAAACCGCATATATGCAGAACTTCCGAAAGTTTTAAGAAATTGTTCTCTGAATGTTATTTTTTTTTCTGAAACTCATGCATGTCCTTCGAAACTTGCCGGACTTTGCAGAAGTTTGTATTTATTTTCTAAGTTCTAATATCGTCTTCTGAAGCTCTTTAAAGTTCTTTTAATTCCGCAGATTTTTTTCTGAACTTTTAAAATTTTCTCTGGATGTTCTCATAAGGTTTTTTAAATTCGTGTATTTTCTGCGAAGTTTGACAAATTTTTTAGATGTTTGTAAAACTTTTTCGAAATCCACGAGCTTCTCAGAAGTTCTCAGAAATATTCTTTGGAATTTGCAGAACTACTTTGACATCGCTCTCTTCACATAACTTTTTCTGAAGCTTGATGTCATCGCACTTGCCACTAAAATGAAAAATTCAAAGCTACAGATCGTGAATGTTTTACCTAGACCTCGTTCTTAAAACAATTTCTATGATTTGCTTCCATTTTTTCACTCGTTGGCCAATAAATCCATTCAGACCTATCACGTTTTTCCTAGTAGTGTTCGATTTGTCATGAACCGTAAAACATTTCTGGAACTTTGATGAATTATGAAATCTCCTATCTGAATTATGGGACTTGGGAAATCGGTAACGACACTGCAAAGCAAATTTGTTTAGACGTAGCACGTATTTGTCACCTCTAGATTAAGGTTCAATTTACTTTAATGATTTTCGAAAAATTTCAAAAGCAGTTTTTTCCGACGCATTATTTCAGATTGCAAAAAGCTCGCACTATTCGATTCCTTTTGATATTTTACACAAAATGACGCGAGCTTTTTGCAATCTAAAATAATGCGTCGAAAAAAACTGCTTTTGCATTTTAAAAAAATGCTTAAAAGTAAATTGAACCTTAAGCCTTCTTAATAGATTAAAAAAAAATCATCACTTGTAATCAAAATGACGTCTGAGACAAACCAGTAGGAAAACTTTCTTTAACGGCTATATATACACGATAATAGGTAAAAGTATTGCTGAAGCTGGCCTGGCACTACGCCCCCTATTGAAGTCTTACCTCGCAAAATTTTCTAAAAATTCAAATCATGCTTTTGAATAACCTTCGTCCAACAATCGTAACGTTCTTCCACAACAACCCAAATTGACGACATTCTCACAGTCTCCACCATCTATCCGATGACGTTTACTGTTGTGTTCGGATGATAAATGACCTCCTGTTCAGCTTAACAAGACAAAAAATCCAAAATCCGAATAGCAGCGAGACCATTCACAGTCTCGACTCTTCGCAGACAGCATCCCAAACGCGCCCATATTTTATTATCAGATCTCCACATCGAACCACAATCTCTCACTCAATACAGTAGTGGGGCCTCTCCACCGAAAAAAAAACCGTTTTGAACCGATAGTCACCTCGTCCAAGCCAAATATGTAGGTTAGTCACCATTTGCCATCGTCGCCGTCACCATCTGCCGACCGGCATGTAACCACGTGCCATCGCCACTAAAAGGCACCTAATTGGACCGCGTGGGGTCATCGAAAAAGATAAATGGATTTCAAATAAACATTTCGCCGTGATCGCTCGTTCGTTCGTTCGTTCGTTCGTTCGTCTAAAGCAAGTGCAATTGTGTGTATACTGATTGATTGATCATCCAATATTCCACAGAAATATAGTATAGTAGTGTGGTCGCCACCAGATCTACGATGAGCAAGTCGCCGCCAGTCAGTGAATCGTCACAGCGAAATAAAAGTGAAACTAATTATTAATTGATTGTGTTGCGAGAGAGAAGATTTATAGCCTCGCGATAAGGGGAAACCATCGAGCAGAAGACATGAAGAAACATTATAGTGTTGAAGTCGCCGGCAAGTACGGTCGATCGTCGTCCAACATACTGGACAAGATCACCAAACGTTATTCGGCGATCGGCAGTCGACTGATGCGAAAGTCCCCGGGTAGGAAGAGCGGAGTTGCCGACCCGATCACCGGAAGTTACGACATGACCGGTGGTCGATTCGACGATTTCCGACCGGAAATCGGAATTCCAATTCTGATCTCCAAAACTACTAAGTTCGATTTTGACTCGGACCTACCCATCGATCAACACCAGCAGCAGCAACAGGAGCAAGAACAACAACAACAACAACAACAGTCAACGCCACGTCCCTCGCGATCGCCGGTGCCGGTGTCTGTCATCGCCAGATCTACCTCCGATGACAGCGAAAACGACATCTTCGTCGATGCCAACAGTTCGCTGCCAAACTTCAGTGACATCAAGTTCACTTTCCTCCCGGAAAGCAACAACAACTACAGTACCTATCTGGATGAAAACGACAAAGAGAACCAAGCCAATTTGCAGAGGATCCGTTCCAAGTCCGCTCACAACTTGCACCAGCCGGAACTTCGCCTATGCATCGAAAAAACCACCTCCCTGAATCTGTCCGGACTGAGCAACGGCAAACTGACTGCAGCTAGCTCCATCACTGTTCCGAACAGTCCGGCCGTGGATAGCATTTATGACTTTCCTCGCAGTACCAAAGTTGGTGACTCAACCTACGATCTCGAGCATGCAAACCTCATTTTGAACGAGATCAACCTATCGCTGGTGAGCGACGGGGATACAACCCACCTGTACCACAATCTTCCCAACGGCAGCCACGTTACCACGTCAAATGGCGTCCTCCACAACGCTGCCTTCGACTATTCGGGCAGCAACCGAAGCTTCCAGTCCAACAGTACCCAGGAGGAAGAGTTCGACCTCAAATCGGCCAGCTTCCAGAGCTTGGACGCCCGGCACCTGTTCCTCTCGATAGAAGAACTGGATGAGATCACCCGCCAAATCAATGAGTCCGAAATTTTCAAGGAAACAAACAACGAGTACTGCGAGCACCGGAATAGGCTACATCCGACCGAGCGTCGACTCACGTTGCTGAAGAACAAAACAGCACCGAAGCATTTCATCGACTTCGATAAGAAGAAAGCGAAACTGACGAAAAAGTGGAGCGGTTTCAAGCACTGGATCGGCGAAGAGCAGGACAAGATCAAGGAGGTGGTGCATAAGCATGCGGCTATGCAGCGGGTGGGTGGGGAAGTTACCAAGCAAACGGGTGCGACGGGGAAGAGAAATAGCAGCAGTGAAGTGGGAAGTGAGCCGGATGCGGGAGCCTGCGTTGGGGATAGTGAGCTAAATCTGTCGATGAGTGCGGTGAATGGGGGGGAGGCGGTGAGTGAAACGGCAGAGCACGAGAACGGCCACCAGAAGAAGCAGCACAGTGCGGAGATTTTGGAGGTGAGTGATTATTGTTTTAGGGCATGATTTTCAATTGATTAGTAATTAGTGGCTTGTTTATGAAGAAATGAGTTCTTTTGAGAGAATATTCCACTTCGTTCAGCGAAATAGAGATATAACATTAATGCCGCCATATTTGTTGTTGAGGAAGGTCTTTGATTCTTGAATTGATGTCCTTTTTTAAATAGGTTACAATGCAACAACAAATAGTCAAAAGTTGTTTTTTTCAGTTATATATGATGTAGCGTTATTGTCCCTAATTTCGGCCAAAGCATATCTAGTATTAGGCCCATTCGTAAAGTAAAGCATCTTTTAACAATGTTTCAATAGCAACTGAAATAATCCATTTGTTTTGTCCATATGACGCATTGTTCTACGAAAAATTGAAGAACAGGAGATTTTGGACGATGGGCCCAATGCATAGATTCATAGGCCCACGTTAGAGCCTGGATAAAGTTTTTGAGATTTTTTTTATAGTCAACACTCTTGGGTGCTGTTGAGAGTTCTCCCAAGTGGGTTAATGACTCGAATGTATACCTTTAGTAGTACATCTGTACCAAAATAATTTGGCAACTAAGTTTGGGCAAGCTAAATTGGGCAAGTCACAATGTAGGGAAATTCCGTCTTGGGAAAAACCTCTATCTATTATTGTCAGGAGCTAAACAAAGTCCTTGAGCGCTCAAACTTTACTAATCGATACTCAAAAACTTGATGTATCTTCATTAGCAGGGATGGATCCACCTCAGAGCATGTTCCAAGTGCTCTAAACCGGAGTTCAACCATGAGTGATACAATGTCCCCAACAGCAAAACATGTCCAATGTAAAGTGACTGAATTGGCTAAAGAGGCGACATCTTATCCATTTGACAGGACTTCTGCTCGATTGGAATAACTTTTCCTATGACTTTGACAGATAGTTGGTTGTTCCACTTTTGACATGTCGTCTCTTTATAAATTCAGGCTCTTTAGTCCAATGCAGATTTATCGAGCAAATGAGAACGCGGTAAAACGGCCACCCTAAGCTTAAAGTTCAATTAAAACAAATCTACAGAAAGTTGCATAGTGTTTTCGATAATAAATTTTGACTTTCCGTTAGGGATAATTCCGCATATGAAACACTTGTCTTTAATTCTCTGTTATAAAATATATTCCCCGTGCATACTTCAATGCCCATCCCATCTCCGTTGAACATTTGTTATAGATAACACGTTTAACCAAACACTTGATCGCAGTGGGATACCTTCGATGGGAAATCGTTCACAAGCATGTATTGCACATCCCAGCCCAAGTAACATTGTAAGTTTTATTGAGGTTTTAAATCACTCTACAAGTCTAAATAATGGTCTACTTATTCTTCTTCGCATTTCAAGCTTATTGCATATCGCATATTAGCTTATAGCGTGCTCTCAACTTATTGTTCTAGATCCACTTCCACAGCTATTAATTGAGAGCTTTCGATGCCTGTACCATTTTTGCATTGGTATAATTGTGTGGCCAGTCCAATCATACTTCTATGCCCAGGGAAGTCGAGAAATTTTCCAACCCGAAAAATTCCTAGACCGGACCGGGAATTGAACCCAGCCACCTCCAGCATGGTCTTGCTTTGTAGCTGCGCCTTTACCGACTGAGCTAAGGGAGGCCCCTTAGGTCTACAGTACCCTCATAAAACTCAAATTGTTACTTGAGAGGTAACCAATAAGCCCGCTAATTTGGATTGATTTTGTTATATAAGGCTAACATACGACTAATACTTTGACTTGCGGGCTTTGGCGCATTATTAGTTGGATAGTTACTAAGCAGACTTGTTGGTTACTTGGGACTGCCCCCTCACTGTCTTTCCATCAACATAATCGAAAATTTGATATTCAGAGATGTGCTTTCACAAAATTATAAAGTTTGATCCATGTTCAATATTTAATCATAATTTACTAATTCAAACAATCGAAAAATCCGTCCATCCAAGCAGGATCATAAATATTGATTGGATAGCTCAACGTAGGAATGTATCCGCCTCTTAAGCACATAATGAGGAACTAGAACTACAAGTATTCAGAAATATATCTCTTAACTTTTTGCCCTCCTTGTATTTACACAAAGACGCTCCAACCCATTTTCAGAGGTTTAATTTTTGTTGGACCGAACACCCAGAAACTCGCTATTCGACTCGGTGCATGCATTTTGTAACAAACAACAATGTAAAGCTCTACTTGAAGATGTAAATGAATGCTAACCGTCCCTCAGGATCCCACTTCAACACAGGGACGGCCCAAAATCATCAAAATTCAGTTCACCAAGCAGAATCTCACGAACAGTAGCGTATAAATTTATAGGATTTTGACAGCTCTTACAGTAATGCATCTGTAACTTGTATACAACATCCGAAATCGATCCTCTTTTACATATTCTGCAGAAAAAAATACATCCGAAGTCTCTCCTTTTTTACATATTCTTCACACATATGCCCCGCCCCTGACAGGATTTCTCACCATTTTTTTATGATGGGGGCGTGACAGAAAGTACCTTTTGTGCAGAATATGTAAAGGATGGACTTCAGATGTTAATTTGATTGCATATAAAGAGGTACCAGACATGTTTTACACTATTTTGTAGCTGTGAGAGGTACAGCTTACATGACATGCAAATTTTCTCTCAACTTGAATTTTTGGGGGCGGGTGAAAAAATTAACGTCAATTCTTTTTAGGTTATCGTTATAGGAGGATGGGGGGGGGGGTTGTTATACAAAAATAACATTTGTCGCGTTTCATATTGTAGTAGATAGAGCTAGTGTTGAATAAATAATGAGTAGAATCGAGTGAGCGTGAAGCGTGATAGTCCGTATGTAAACGGAATCTCATTGGTTAGAGAATTTTGATAGATTAGCAGGTATAAATATGAAGTACCTAAGCTCGTTGAAGTCATTCTTGTAACGAATTTTGGAGGTGACGGACCACCAGCAGCAGCAGAAACAGCAGCAATAGAAGCAGTCGCACCCGTGGGAGCTGCATCGCTAATTCGTGTAGTCGTGGCCGCGACTGGAAACCTCGGTCCGGTCACGACATATATTATTTGAACGGGACCGAAAACAGTCTCAATAACTCGTTCTGTAAAATATGTGAGGTCCTGAAAAGGACCAATTGTTCGATCTCTACAAATTCCACATCCTCCCCACCCCATCTTTGGTTGTCATCAAGGTGATCAAACTGACTGCTGTCATTTTACCACAAAATGAGCGGATTCACAATAGAACCGCTCTAGCCTGACTGCGGTAATGTTCAGCAGAGGCAGAGGGAAAATTTCCAACTTTTCCTGATTTGCTCCTGCTTCTGCTTGCCACGCTGTTCGAAGCTTTTACAGGTTCAAGCAAAACGATGCGCAACCAAATGGTAATCGATTAAGACGACTTGGTTTGGGGAGAACGTTTATTTCATTGAAACAGTGATGAAATTATCAATTTTAATTTGTACTTTTTTCAACGATTTTTTTTTTTTGAGAAAATTGGATCTATAAATGACAAAGCAATAAGCGTTCAAAACCTTGCACCTTTTCGTGACGGTCGGAATTTTAGTTTTTTGATATACCCCCAGTACCTTCCCGTAAGACGTAGTCTACGTCAAAAAGTCTAAATGAAGCGAAAATACATTCATGCTCGGTGATAACGGGTGTTCAATAAAAAATGAGATTTTTTTCAGCCATAAAAAACAAAATTCAACGAATTCAGTATTTTTTTAATAAAAACATAATGCTCATTCTTAAAAAAAACGTCAATGAATATTTGAGAAGGGGCCCTGGTCAGCCGTACGACGCAAATTAGTCGCGATGCTCTCACAAGAGCGCTGGACGGCACTGAAATCATTCTCATTTTTTATTGAACACCCGTTAATACAGCCATCCCCCGAAGAACACGTAACCCACTGAGTTGCACCCACCGCTTTTTTCTCGTCGGGGTTTTAACCAGTCGGTCTGATTTTTTGCATGTGAGTAGGGTCAATGGAGAACTAGTCACTCGTAAAAAATCAGAGCGCTTGGTTGCATAATAATATCATAATTTGAGCAAGTTGCACAAATTCGTAGCTGGTACAAGTCCTACATCATGGTTTGAGAGTATTGCCACGTCCGTCCGTTGCCGTAGTGACCGAGATGTGGGATTGATCTCGGACTCCAAGATGGATGTAGCATTATCTCCAAACAATCGAGAACTGTCTTGGCCACGCCCTTGCAGCAACTGCTGGGTATGGGAAGGATTGTTAGTTAGACACTTCACTTACTTAAGAGACATGCAGAGAACTCTGCGGACCTCTCATAACTGACTCGGGAGTTTGGAGGTTTGTTAGTAGTGAGGGTAAAAAGCCATTGGAAAAAAAAGGATGAAGTAGGTCGCGCTGGAAAGTTGACACGTTTTTAATTTTGCTGCTGATTTTCATTTGGTGATTTTAACCATTTTAATCATGGTGCCACTTCGCCCTCAAGTTTATGGTCGGCAGATACTCCTTCGTCCACCGCTTCCACAGTTTATCAGCAAGCACTTGTGATCGCTCGTACTGATCCCGTAAGGCCTTCGCTTCGTTGCCGGATGGTAGCTTCACCTCTCTTTCGCATGATGGATACCCGAGCAGAAAGTGATTCGGAGTCAATGTTTCTGGTTCCGCATTTTCCTTGGACACAAACGTTAAAGGCCTTGAATTGATCATCCCTTCAGCTTCCGCCAGGGCTGTCTCCAATACTTCGTCGGAAAGTGATCGTCCGTCTTCAAGCTCCGTCAACGCCTCTTTCACCGATCGAACTAACCTTTCCCATACTCCTCCCATGTGTGGGGCTGCTGGAGGATTGAAATTCCACCTCGTTCTCGCACTCGTGAAGTTCTCCCTGCATTCCACGTTGATAGCCTTGACGATTTCCTTGCTAGCTCCAACAAAGTTGGTACCGTTGTCCGAAAAAAACTCAATCGGAAACCCTCGTCGATACACGAACCGTCGGATTGCCATCAGGCAAGACGCCGTAGA